GGTCCATATGTGGCAGCAGGCCGTGGCCAGGGCCACTGTGGTTCCGCTTCCTGAGGAGGTAAACACGTGGCTTCTGTAAGTCAGTGTCCTCCCTCTGGGGTGTGGATGCGGGTCAGAACCCTCAGGGCATCTGCTGTCCGGCATCCTGTAGTCCCACAGTGCACAAGGATGCCGGCCCTGGTGCCCACAGGCTGGGCCTCCTAGTGAAAGTGTATGATCCTAGAGCCTCCAGCGCTCCTGGAGCATCAGCAAGTGAAGGGCAAGAATGGACCTGTTCTGTCTCCTGCAGACCGCACAACACTGAGCTGAGCAGACACTCCGTGAATGTTTCTGAATAATAGAATTGATGCCTTTACTCAGTTTAATGACCAAGAATGGAAATTTTAGGCTTTCAATTCTTTCCAAATCAAAACCACTTGTATAGATGATATTGAAAACACTCTACTAAAATAAATAGCTATTAATATTTAAATAGGGTTATAATGACGATCACAGAAAAAATGCTCACAAAGTCCAGATTAATCAAAATAGAAATTAATATTCAAAGAGGAAATGTCTCTTTGATTGGACCTACCAGCAACGTAGGCCCCAAAAGGTACTATCCTCCCAATTTTTTATATGTTTCTAAGGTAGATCAGTCCTGGGTGTTCATTGGAACGACTGATGTTGAAGCTGAAGCTCCAATACTTTGGCCACCTGATAGGAAGAGCTGACTCATTTGAAAAGATCCTGATGCTGGGAAGGATTGAGGGCAGGAGGAGAAGGGGACAACAGAGGATGAGATAGTTGGATGGCATCACCAACTCAATGGACATGGGTTTGGGTGGACTCCAGGAGTTGGTGATGGACAGGGAGGCCTGGTGTGCTGCTGTTCATGGGGTCACAAAGAGTCGACACCACTGAGTGAGTGAACTGAACTGAACTGATACATATATTACACATACAACCCAATGTTTCCTGCATCAATAGTAAATCAATGCCCAACATCTAAGTCATGGCGCATGCTGGAGGGTCATGCATGGAGCTCACATGGATTTTTGACTCACTGCTAAACAAGTGTTTACCAGTGGGAAGGGCAGGTGTTCTGGGGTGGCTCCTTCCACTGTCCACCCTGGCTTTGGACATTGGCTGAGGGGGTCCGGGTGTTCCCAAACCACCCATCACCATCACCCTAGCTGAAAGAATTGAGAAAATGCCTTTCAGTCTCTGAACAGTGAGCACTATGCGTGTTCTCCCGAGAGAGTCTGGTAGGCATCTTGTGGGGGCGGGGCTCCACTGAGAGCGTGTCTCAGGCGCTGCCGGGTCCTGGCTCGGGGCAGGGCTCTGGGACCAACTGCAACTAAGTAGCTTATGACCCTGAACTTCAGCCTCTGTGCCCTTCAATGAGAAAAAAGAAGATGAAGTTAGAAGATTTCCTAGGCCCATTCACAGTCTGTGCAAAGTAAGTGGTTCTAGTTTCGTGACTCACCATTCATCCAAGTAAATGGCATTTTTCACTTTTCAACTAAATTACCTTCTGTTGTATAGGCAGAGCTGTCAACCCACACAAGAGTCGAGTTGGAGGCTCTAGTATGATTAACACATTTGCTGTGATGGAATAAAAATCTGAGCCTGTCGCTACTAGCCTGTGAGTGGCAGGGATCTTTAGCGTGACCTGTGATCAGTGGGGCCACAGGGTCTGCTGGGTGGCCCTCGAGTCTCTGTCCTGCTGGTCCGGGCCTGAGGCTGTGGGGGTGGACAGGGCTGCGGTCGGGCAGGCAGCAGCTGTGGAGGCCCTGGGCTTCCAGAGTCTCCAGCGCTGCGCGACGTCTTTGACTCCAGAGCGCTGCCGTCAGGGTCCCCCCATCAGGCTCAGGGTCCCAAGGCCCAGCACCTCAGCACCTCCTCTGTGAGTCCCCACGGGGCGCGATCGCTTAGTGAGACAGACCTGATAGCAAATTGCCCCAGACTGGCACCTAAGCCCATGCTGGCTTCAGGAGAACTGGTCTCTGTCATTTTGGTAAAAAGTTAACCCTATCTTTGCAAACAAAAATTTTGGGGGGCCTCTTTTCCTCTAAGATTCAGAGTTCCTATTGCCTTTCAACATGTCAGCTTTGTTTTATGAGAGACAAACCTTCGCGTTTAGCAATGTGTAAATTTGAAAGTAATGGTTGTACTGGTGATAATATGAGGAAAAGTAGATTAAGAAATCTAATTTTTAAATTGTTTTCACAATAGAACAACAACCAGATACCCATAGAATATGGTGTCGGCCAAAAAATGGGCCCATTTCAAGGAGCAGAAGCAATAAAATACTGACCCCCACCCCACCCACCTTCTAAACGCTAACCCCTTACAGTATAAGACCAGGACAGGCTAAACCACTTCACATGCCCAAGTGTAAACCATCCTGAGCACACGTGGCCTGGCGGGAAGGAGGGGCTGTGTGTCTGGCACCTTATATGTCCTTGTTTAATGCCAGGCAAGCATTCTGTTCCTGATACGAGACATCTGTTGGATGTATCAGGCATGCGGAGTGGGGCGCTGAGGGCTATGAGAGGGTCTTTCATTGGCACCAGAATGTAAGGACAAACCCTTAGCCACCCAAAATCAAAATTCAAAAAGAAAGTTGAGTTTTTCATCAAGAAGATATTCTTAGCTTCTATTCAGCTCACTTGCTCATTTCCTTTCTTCCTTTGGTACCAAATAAAGGCAAAATTCCACCAGCAGCTTTGCGTGGCAGGCCACTGGCCACTCTTGGCATCTGGCCAAATTACTTATGCACCACCGGCACTCAGACTTTTCATTTCCCCCATGGTGGCTTAGAGAGTGGCAGAAAAAGCACGGGATATAAACAGCCTGCACTGTGCTTGCAGGGAGGCTGAGAGGGGCCGGCCCACCCCCACCCTGAGCCAGCATCGCTGGACTTGGCCTCTCGTAATTCAGGCTCTTCAAACTCCCTCTGCTTTTGCACACATGCAATCAATACAGCACATGCTAATTAGGACAGGGTGATTAAATCTGGGGTTTGGCTTCAGACTGGCCTTGGGTGGTACTCCAAGGGCGCCCAGCAGCAGGGCTGACTTCTAATCAAAGGCCGGAGTGGTCTCCGTCTTCAGGAGCCCCCACCTCAGGTCAGAGCGCCTTACTCTCTGGGAGGTGGAGTCCAGTTCAGGGTGCTGTTGGCGGTGGGGCAGGTGTCGCAGACACACATTTGGGTTTCTGCTTTCCTACTTGCAGTTAAACAAAATCAAAGCAGAAGATGATGTTTCCTAAGGCCTGATTCTCTGCACACATTTGCTTATCTGGGTGGCCTAGAGAGTTTGCATGTAGTTTCGTTCCCAGGGTGAGCGCATCCTCTGACCTCACTGAGTGAGACAGCCCCTTCTGCTCACCCGGTGCCTTTTGAGCTGAGGGCTCATGCGGGTTTTGCCTTGGCTTTGGGACCCCCACTTGCCTACCTGCCCTGCCTGCAAGGAGATGTCAGATCCCATCTACCTGTTTATAGGCTCCAATTAGTGGGTGCTGATCACTCGCGGCTATCTTTGCACACACCTTTCTCAGAAGGAAATCTGGTTTGTAAACTGCTGTTTTTGAAATGTCAGAATCCGCCAGCTTTCCCTCCTTCCTTCCCATGTGACTCGGATAGGACTTGACAGTGGATACAGCTAAACTTGCAGGAGGAAGCGGCTGAGTTGAGAGCCAGTCACTGCGGACATCATCCCTGTCTCGAGTGACTGTGTCCCGCGAAGCGGTCAGTTAGGAGACAGCACACATGCCCAAGAAGGGTCAGCGGGGACGAAAGCCAGAGGCAGAGGAGCATGTGAAGAGCAGATGCTTCAGAGGAGCTTTCTTTACTCTGAGCAGAAACACGTGGAAAGTGGACGTGAGCTCCGAGCCCCCGTAGACACGGCCTGACCTGCCAGCTAGGAGGTTCACCCCGGTGAGCTCTGGACTGGATAAACCCTGGGCATGGCACGAATCCCCGGGCCCCCTGGGGATGACTGTGACCTCAGGTGGGGAGTGTCCTGAGTTGCAGAATGCATACCTTTGGTAGAACACTTCCTTATATTTATATACAATATTTAAAAAAATAAGGTAAGAGAAGTTTTGTGAAAGTTTCCCTCAAGCAATCCATGCAAGTCCTCATACTTTTCCAGGGAGAGTGCTTCCTGCAGCTGTAGACTCTGACCCTGTTGAGCTGGTGACCACAGAGGAGGAGGAAGCCCCGCCGCCATCAGCCCACGGGAGGGCCTTGTCCTCTAGGCGCCGGGGCTGGACACGTGCATGCGTGTCCTCACCCAGGGAGAGGGCAGCTGTGACATGCCGTGTCCCTCCTCACTCATCCTGAGGGGTGTGCCGGCCACGGAGGGCCAGTACCCAGGTGTAGAGGGCTGTCCTCAGGGGCAGAGGAGGAGGTGCGGCAGTCAGCTGTGTGCACCGGTGGGTCTGGAACCCCAGCTTCCTTGTCTGTGAGGCAGGGAGGCCGCCCTCACGTGGACGCGGGTCTGCCATGTGGACGGGGGTCAGCAGTGTGGACAGGGGTCAGTGTGTGGACAGGGTTCTGCAGTGTGGATGGGGGTCTGCCGTGTGGACGGGGGTCAGTGTGTGGACAGGGTTCTGCTGTATGGACGGGGTCTGCCATGTGGATGGGGGTCAGCTGTGTGGAGAGGGTCTGCCGTGTCGACACAGGTCTGCCGTGTGGACATTGGACGCGGGTTGGCCTGTGGATGCAGGTCTGATGTGCGCAGGACGACAGTGGTGATTTTTCCTCTTTTCCAGCAATACTCACAGGATGATCCTTTCAGTCAGGCCAAGAACTGTCATAAAGAAATTTTAAGGTATACTCAGCATCTAAACTACCACTTGTATTTTAGTAATTTAAGTTGATCTATTTTGGATCTGAAATTAGATCAGTATGAAAGCTACCCCTCCTAGAGGGGGTGGTGCTTTATGCTCTAGTAGCTATGGGGGCAGATGACAGCCCAGGGGACTTGCCGTGACCCTGGGCCTGTGGGGAGATGTTCGCTGGAGGCTTGGCCGCGGTGCACCCCATCTCGCAGGCTGACAAGGGCCCCGTGTCTGGGTCCCCACACAGCCTTGAGGGGAGAGGAGTTTCGGATCTGATGTGTGATTTCCAGGACCCCGAAGCCGAAGCAAAGAGAAAGAAAATGTGCTACTGTTTGGAGTGGCTTGTGGGGGCACGTTTCTGGATTGAGGGGCTGCTCTAGAGCCATTTGAGGGTCGTCAGCCAGGGAAGGCCACGCAGTCCGGAAGCACCAGCTGAACGGGCTCTCTGGAGAGAACGCTTCTCTACCCCCAGCGAGCACGGAGGGTGGGGGCGCCCGTCTCCCACCAGCAGTCCCCCCTGTGCCCCTGCCCCACCCCTGGCTCTGGGCTGGGCTCTCCCAGGCCCTCTGCTGACTGGCCCAGCCCGCTACCTCACATGTGGGCTCCCGCGGATTCTGTCCTCGGGGTTCACAGGAAGGACATGTGAGCAGTTTCTAGAGGCTCATCTGTGCATCTCTCAGCTCCAGAGCTGCGCTGAGCTGTCTGGGGTGAAGGGCAGCCAGACGCTGCTTCAGCAGGTGCCAAGCTCTGGTCCCTCAACTGTCCTGGGCTATAAGCAGCAACCTTTGAGGATAGAAGCCCTACAAGCTAAGAAACACCTGAAAGTCTTCCCGTCTGTTCCTTTTGAGCCAGGGTTTTTGAGTCACTGGGGTAAGCGGAATTTTTGGTGGGGCTGGGGGCGGACTGTGGCCCGGACCCAGAGTCCGTGCACTGTGGGTGGTCCTTTGCTCGGGGGGTCTGGCTGCCTGTGCAACCTCAGATCGGGAAGGCAGGGCCAGTTTATTTCAAAAATATGTGGAGACTTACGTGAAGGATCCCTGGAGAAGGGAATGGCAACCCACCCCAGTATTCCTGCCTGGAGAATCTCATGGACAGAGGAGCCTGGCGGGCCACAGTCCACAGGGTCACAAAGAGTAGGACACGACTGAGTGACTAACACGCATGTGAAGGATAGCGTCCTTGTTTCTAGCCCCTGAATTTCCCATGGCCCCCATTTGTCTATTATATCAACCATTTCCCCCTAAATCTCAGAGCCGGAGGAAGAGTTCCAAGTGGGGTATTCAGAGCAGCAAGCAGATGAGACCGGGAGCGGCAGTGAGGGGACAGCTCAGCCTGGAGGGACGCACGCCCTGCGGAAGCAGCTTTGCTTTCTTCCTCCCTGGCGTTTGCAGGCTGGCCATGGGGGCTCCTGTTCCCTGAGTCTGTCAGCTTGGCCCCTTGTTCCTGGCACAAGACAGGAAATGGCGTGAACTGACTCTGCATCCGAGGGAGGTGCTGACCGGCTGTTGTCCTTGTCTGCAGAGCTCCAGACCTCCCAGGGCTGCACTAATAACTAGACTCCATGAAGATAAATGTGAAAACTGGTCTCTGGTTCCCAGCTCTGGCTTAAGGCCTAGAGTCTGTTCCTTATGCCCCATGGCTATCGTGAGCAGCTGGATCAAGGGGGCACTCTTGGAGTGCCAGGCCGACTGGCAAAGATTCCTGCCAGGCCTCCATCGGCTTCTCTTCTATCTTGCAACACATAGTTCGAGTCTCTGGATGTTCCAAGTTTTATGGTTTGTAGACCCAGGGCCCAGAAGCCAGAAATCTTGTTTCCTACACCCTGGGACTGACTCCCACTGAACCTGAAGCTCTAACTATACCCGGTCACAGGCAACGATTCTGTGACTCAGAACTGATGGTGTCTTTAGCTACCCATCCTTGCCAGCTCCACCCTGATGTTGTTTTAGGAGGTCCCATGAGCACATTGTTGTACTGTTAAGTTTTTATCTCTCATGACTGAAAAGGCAAACCATATCTGTTTGTTTTTATTCAATTTTCCTAGTTTTATATAGAGTTCCTATAAATAAAGTATCGTGCCTTGAGAATGTGAGGGCATGGAAACGAATGCAGTTTAACCAGCAGCAGTACCTAATATTCTAGTCTCCTGGGTGATTTCTTAGGGATCCTGAATTTTGTATTAGAAAATGATTCTCAGGCTCCAAAATGGCACTAAACTGAAATTTTCATTTTTTTAAAAAATGTATACATGAAGTGTTAAAAATATCTGTGTGTACAATCTTGTTCCATACCATCAGCGATCAGAGCGCGCGAGCTCCTACGAGGACTGATAACGGTGAGCTTAGATGAGTGACTGCTCATAGGCCCTGGCAGTTTGTGTTCAGGCTTTTGATTCAGCTGTTTGATGAAAGTGAGCTTGAAAGTTAATGTTTATCATCAATGACATGTATCAGTGATGGTGAACCTGTGAGGTGTATATACAAGTTCTTTATATTTAGAACATTTATTAGCTAATGACCAATGATGTTTTTAATGGGGCATTTCATTCCCTGCTAAAGCAGCCTCAGGGTAGCCATACGCATACCAACAGTTGACCTTGGACTGTGTGGGTCCACTTACACTTGGATGTTTCCCAAAAGTAACACTATGGGGCCACACAGTCCTTGGGTGGCTGGCCCTCTGATGTGGAGGAAACATGGATACAGAGACCAGCTATATATGACACTCAGATTAACCCTGTCTTGTTCAAGGGTCAGCTGTATGGATTTTCCATGCATTCTGATGTTTAGCCCCATTAAGTTTTCACACAGACGTTTTAAGTCCCTACCTATATATCAACTGGAAAATAGTATTCAAAAATAGACATGGGTGAGACTTTTTGGCTGCCCAATTAAAGTACTCTAACTGATAGATTATTGAAGATCTCTCTTTTTTTAAAAGAAGGGAAAAGGTCAAAATGGGTAAATACATTAAAGAAAAACATCAGCCTCTTTAAAATAAAAGTTCAGGTGGATAATTGGGGTCATCTAAGAAATCATGTCTTTACTTGAATATGGACACAGATCTTTGAATTTGAACATACTCAAATGAAATCATATACTGAATAAAATTTAGCAAAAGTGTTTTTGTTTGTTTTTAGCCAGAAATGGTCTTAACAGATTTTCTACAGATATATAACATGGAAGAGTATCAGGCAAAGAAGCATTCAGAGTAACTCAGAGATGAAACAGTTATGGAAAGTACAGTTAGAAGTCAATTAATTAAATGGTAGTTAATGAGGTGGTGTATTAGCTAGCTTTTGGCTGTGTAGTAAAATCTTGGCAGCTAAAACAATGGCTGTTTATTTAGTTCATGGTTCTGTGGGATCACTGATGTTCTTATGGCTTTGAGGTGCTTTGACTGATCTGAACGCCCCTCTCATCATTTGTGCACAGCTGGCAGGGGTAAGTGATTTTCAGCTAAGATTCTTAAACTGTTCTCCATATGATTTTTATTTTTCAGGATAGCTTAGCCTCATTAAGCATGACAGTCTTGCGATTTTGTTAAGTGTAAATGGGTCAAATATTCCAATTAAAATGCAGAGATTATCTAAATAGACTAAATAGAAAATAAGACATATGCTGCCTACAAGAGGCTTTAAATATAGAAAATAGGTTGAAAGTAAAAGGATAGGAGAAGACTGACGTGCCGTGAGCATAAGAAGGTTGCTGTGTTGCCTTTATATCAAAACTAGGTGTAGACTAAGTCAGAACCTGTTGCCAAAGGTACAGGGGAACACTTTACAAATATAAAATAGTCAGTTTTTCAGGAAGACATAATGATCATTAATGTGGATGTATCTAAGTGTAAACCTCAAGTTATTTCTTTCTATAAGAAAACTGAGAATGAAAGAAAGATAGACAAACCCAAAGTCATAGTCGAAGACTTTTAACATCCCGTTCTTGGTAATTAATAGAATAGCTAGAAAAAACAAGCATGTAGACATTTGAAACAATTATCAACTACCTTGGCTTATTTTCCTTTTGCAGAACATGCCATACAACAGCTAGAGCGTGCAAGTGCCGTCCAAGTGCAGCTGGAACTCTCCCGGGTAGTCCACGTGCTGGGCCATAAAGTAAGTGTCAGTCACTTTTGAGAGCTTGAAATCTTGCAGTTTCTGTTCTCTGATCAGAACAGAATCAAAGGAAAGAGCAACTACAACAAAAGCTAGACAAGCCCCCAAGTACTTGGAATTTAAACAGCACACTTGTAAATAACTTATTGATAAAGGATGAAAGCACTAGAAAAATCAGAAAATATTTGACCTTTATGAAAATAAATACAGTAATAATAACAGCATTTAGAGGGAAATTTGCAGTTTTAATACCAATATTAGAAAAGACCAGTTGTTGAAACTTGTTCTATGTGTCTACATAAGAAACTAGAAAAAGTAACGTAAATTAAATTGTATAGTAAAATCAAATAAATAGACGACATAAGTAAAACAGAGAAAAGCAAACAATAAAGACAAAAGTATTTTAAGGTGGTTCTTTGAAAACAATAGTGAACTGATTAATCTCTAGTGAGATGAATGAAAACACAAGTTAAGGGGAAATCACCTCAATTTCTACATAATTTTAGAAAGATCATAAGAAAGTATTATAAACAAAGTTATTTTAATAAATTTTATAACATAGATGAAATGAACAGTCTTTGACAAAGAGAGTTTACCAAAATTGACACAAAAATAAATTGAAAATCTCAATAGCCATGTATCTAAAGAAAAATTTGAGCATTTGTATTGAAGTTTATCAGACAGCCTTAGTACAAAGACAGTAGTGAGCCCAGATGAATTCTGGAATAATGGGAGAAGTAATGGAAATTTACACAAACTCTTACAGAAAGTAGGGGAAACAGGATTATGCCAAACACTTGTGTTTGTGGTTTTGAATCCACACCACCCTGACACCAAAATATGACAAAGACATAAACATATGCATGTATATACATATGTATATAAGTACATATACACACAAATATTCCTCATGAACATAACCATAAAAATATTCAATAATATATTGGAAATAAAAAGATAATATAACATTACCAAGTGAGATATATCCCAGGAATTCAAGATTGATTGAACACTTGAAAAACCATTAGTTTGTCTACATATTAACAAAATAAAGAGGAAAAATCATGTCATTTCAAGAAATGCAGAAAAATATTTGACAACATTAAAAATTTATTCAAGATAGATAGCAAATGCAAGCAAAGAATAAAAAGGAATTCCCTCAAACTGATAAAAGGGCATCTATGAAAAACCTGCAGATCAGTGAATGGTGAAATGTTGAAGGCTTGCCCCCAAATTAGGAGAGAGGAAGGAAGACCTTTCTGACCC